CTGGCATGTTGCTATTTCGTACCATTCGTTGGTTGATGGCTGGGTTGTGTGATATGCTATTGTGTCTTGAAATATGAAGAGGTCCAAGTCAGCGGGTGTTGGTTTTTTGGGGGTACCTATACTATCAAGTATTCTCTCTTCCCTTCGATCGACTTAACGGGATTGGAAGTGTCCGATGTCGACCGGCCCCTAAAGCTTCCACTGACTGCCCTTCGACGATATTCAACAGTACCTATTAGAGTATACCCGGAATTTCGCAGGTATACTTTTTATCGTCTGTGTACCACGCCAATTCGCGAAACGCATCAGCGCTACACTGAGTTCAAGCAAATCAACGAACTCGATACTAGATAGCCCGTTGCTGCGCTTTTCAACCAGATCGCGGGCACACCGCCTGTTGGGCAAGCGATAAGCCGGATCTACTGAGTGGGCACTTGCGGTTGGGAATGGTAGTTATGTGATACAAGAATCCTGATACAGTAAAATGGAGGGCCCAGGGTTAGGGTTTGGACCCCCTGGGTGGGCACTTGGGTGCCCCGCATTTAGATTAGATAAGGAAGCATCGCGTGCAGCCTGCAGTGGAATTACTTCCACGGCAGCCATCGCGACACTTCCTTTGAATATATCAGCCTTTTTCACCCAATCTCGTTGTTCTCCCCTATTTCAGATACTTACGTATCAAATGGTAGCTTCTGCTGAGTGTTGACGACCTCAGCCATTTTATTTACGAAAGTCGTAAAATCGTGCGACTATTCGGCAATTCGCAATTTGCAGCGGTTCGGCGAACCTGTAACCGATCGTTGCATTTCGAATCGCGGCCATTTCGCACCCCGGTGAACCTGTAGCCGGCGGCGCGTAACCACCACCTACTTCCATCCCGATCGCTAAATTCGAGGCGATCGCGGCTTCCAGCGTTCGGCATACGAACGGGGTGAACCTGTAGCCCCGACTCGGCATACCTAACGCCTCGACGATGTCGCACGGCGGCGGCGGCCCAAGCGGCAATCGCGCCGACGGTGACGACAACTCCGTGCCCGGCAACTACCCGGAGCACCCCTCCTATCCGGACATCGAACAACCGGAAATGGAGGAAGCAACTCGGCATCAATCCGCGTATCGGCGGAGCCAGATCCGGAACCTACATCGTACCGCCGCAGAGGCCCCTCCTGCGACCTCTGCCTTCGGAGATACCCCGGCTCGGTCAAGAGCAAACACGTCAATTCGCGCCGGATCTGACAGTGGCTCCGACTCCATCATCCTTCGAGGAAGCGACGGCAACGATTAAAAGCTCGGCAACAACAAGACCTCTGTCCGATACTTGCATCGCCAGATTTCCGCTCAAGAGGCTCGCACAGATGCCCTCGTGGATCGCATGACGGCAACCGTCGTGGAAGCGATGGACAAAAGCTTCAGGGCGTTTGAGGGCAAATTTGAGAAACGCCTCCAGCGATTGGAGAACGGCCCTCAACAGCGCGACGCCGCTCCACGAGGCGAACAATCCGGCTTCGCCATTCCGCCCGAAGGCGTGCGACTGGGCGCCCACGACAATCTTGATCAGCCCTCGCCTCCGGAAAACTTCTATCGCCAAATGGCTAGCGGATCTCGGCCCCCGATGCCGGCTGCGACGCCGTCTCGGTCGGCCCCACAGGAGCCGTATCGACATAGGGATCGCCATACTGGCGGTCCGCCTCCCGACCGCGAGCACCTCCGTGGCGCACGCGAAGGCACTTGCGATTCAACCCTTTCGCAGCCAAGCCGAAACCCAGACAAGATCAAGCGAGAAGAAATCGGCATTTTTAATCCTGACTATCCGGACCCGGACGACCTTGGTATCGTGCAAGACGGTAAAAACCTTATCTTCACTGATGTCTACAGCTTTGTCGACCGAATCGCAACCTTTACCGAGAGTCTGGGTGAGGAGGCATCCCGTCAGATCCTGGGGCACTTCCAAGCCATTCTTGGCGGCTCAGCCATCCTCTGGTGGACCAACGAGCTGATGGCGGCCCGCCGTATTGAACTGCGGTCGGCAGGCCTACTCGCCATCCTCGACGAACTGATTGTTAGATTTGGCCCAGATGCCGCCAACGCGACCAAGAGTTTCTACGACTGCAAGTTGTACCTTCGCGATGTGGCCGCTGACGAACAGGCATTACAACAATTTGTTCAGAAGAAACTACGCTGGGCACGCTCGATACGCATGCTCGGTCCAGACCATTCTAACTGGAGCAGTGCCATGATGATGATATGGAGTCATATGGAATTTGAAATTCAACAATGCCTCCCTCGACCAGATGAGTTTGCCAGCCTCTCGGACTATATGAAAAAGATCGAGAAGTCTCGGATCATTGTCAATTCCGCCGCGCTCAAATACTATCCACATTTGGTCAAGAAATCCTCGAACAAATCCAGCCTGAAGTCGCTCGACAAGGCCGAAGACCGGCCTCGATCCTCCCGATCTTCTTCTGACCGCCGCGAGCAGTCTCGCAGCAGCCGTCGCGAGGAACGTTACCGGGACGATGAGTATCGCCCTCGTGACCGCTACCGCGATAACCGTCGTCGTGACCGAGATGGTAATCGTGACCAGCGGAAAGACTACGACCGTCGCGACAAGGAAAGGGATGATCGCGGTAAACGGGACGAGAAAGACAGGAAGCATCGAGATGACCGCTACCGCAAGGACCATCGAGATCGTGATCGCAAGCGCGATCATGACCGAGTACATTTCGCAGAAATTGACGACGACTCGGGATCCGATGCTGACCACTCGGATGCCAGTTCAAGCGTTTCCTATCCTTCTGACAGCGAAGTCGACATCGCCTGCCTTGTTTTCGATGCTAACCGAACATGCCGCAAATGCCACAAGGAATTTGACGATAAAACGGAGCTACGCCACCATGTCAAGACATGCGAAGTCAAAGGCCCTTTACGCTCACAACGAAATTGTCAAGCCAATCTGCAAAATCCAGCGCGCCGCACCTGTGGGCACTGCGGGGAGCTGGCCGGCTCCCGCAACGCCCTGTTCAAGCATCTGAAGCATTGTCAGGGGGCGAAGAGCGGCACATTTGACCGCCCGGCCGACCCCGGCATCGACGAAGCCGGCGCGGCTCGGATCGCCAGCGAACCGGCACCTGACGATACCTCGGAAGCTCCTGAGGACCTCGGCGAGATAAACTTCGTCAAGGAAGCTCCCACACTCGGCGACGACAAACCTCTTGAAGGCCCCCTGGGCAACTTCACGTACTTGCGCGTGAATGCCCGCACCTCGCCAAAGAAGGGAGACGTCGAAGTCTGTTTCGACCCCGGTGCCGGCCGTTCGATTGTCGGCCGCAACTTCTTTCGCAACCTCGACCACACTATCGAGAAACGGGAGGGAAAAGTCTCTGGCATTGGAGGAGGCATTTTGAAGCTTAAGGAATGGGCGACCTTCAGCCTCTATCTTCCTGGTGTCGAAAACGGGAAGAAAACATTGTTCAAGTTCACCCGAGGTGCCTGGGTAATTGACAACCTTCTTCCTAACCTCCTCCTCGGAAACGACTTCATGGATCCTTACCGTGCCAACATCGACTACGACACTAAGATCGTACATCTGCGCGCCATCGACTTTGCCGTACCTTTCTCCATTCGAGTGCATTCGGTGCCCTGCGTTCGGCGCGTGAAGACAACGCGTGCCATTACGCTGCTTCCGGACCAGGAGGCGATGATTCCCGTCAACTACAAACCGCTACCCAAGGGGCGTTCGTTTCTTTTTAACGCGGAACACGACGCAGCATTTCACGCAGTCATTACGGCAAAAACCCCCAAGGTGGTAGCCGTCAAGAACACTTCCCGCGGTACAATTACGATCCCGAAGAGATACCCCGTTGGAAAGATTGACGAGAACCACGACAGTGGATTCCTAGCCTGCTCCTGGAATACCGCTTTTAAGACGATGGCAGTGGGCGCGACATTGATGTCGATGGCGAAACCTACCGCAATTGGCGATATCGAACCGATCAACTTCGCCCTGCAGAATACCAACTCCCTGCCAGTCAGCGCCGAATTTGACTTCGACAAACGCACCGCCGCCGTAGCCGAACATGACCTCGGTTTACGCGCGCCTGATGCTCCTATGGTGGTAAACTACAACGGCACTTCGTCAACGCCGGTGAGCGACTATGTCTACCAACTCACCCAGGGTGCGACTGTGGACCCGCCTGCCGGTGACCAGGCCCCTGAAGAGCCTGACCTTCCTGTCGTTCCCGAAAAGCAGTCCACACTCGGCATCCGAATGGTTGACAACCTACCCGAAATCGTTACAAAGGAGGGAGTCCACATCTTTGCGGAAAACTCGCAATTGGCCGCCCGCTTTGCTAAACTGGTGCGACGGCACCCGAGGCTCTGGGAGGACACTGGTCTTATCAAGCTACCGCCCGAACAGCTTATGCGAGTTCCACTTGTGGAAGGATGGCAGAACCAGCGGGTCAGC